GTTTATTGTCAGAAGGCTATTTTTTATCCCCCAATAAACAAAAAACCAAAGCAAAAGAACTTACTATACAACTGCAGAAACATCGAAGCATAAATCCATTCCTGTCTGTTCAATATTGCAAAAGGGCATTACTGAAATAGCATTCACATCCTTGTCTATAATGACAATCTCTTTCTTCTCTTGCTATAAATCAGAGGGTTGAGTCGAAGCACACACTCTCTGTATGGCAACATAGCTCTGATAAAATTAAAGCCAAATATTACAATCATATGTGACAATATCTCTACTACTATCAACAAAAGTACCAATATCCTTTTCGTAGCAAATGTCTGATAATGACTTAAGTATTATTAATTTTAAATTTAAAACTCAACATATAATCTCTGAGAATCTCAGTTATCTTAATTAGCTCAATTGTAATTTTAAATTCATGGCGATGATAGGGATTAACAATAATTATCTCTAGATAATCTTTTTCAAAACTCTTTAATTATATTATATCCAAGGGATTAAGATTTTAAAGATTTCTTGAATACAAAAAGAATTATATAACAAAAACAGGAATTTGAAAAAATATAAAAAGTGTGTCTCTGTGTATGCAATAATAAAAGCAAAAAGTATATTTCATTTGCAACAATAAAGAATGCATTTTGCTTAAGTTTCATAATCTCGTAAGGAGTTGTACAGGAACAATTAAAACAGAAAATATATATATTCTTTTACTATCTCGAATTTGACTTATTTGAATTACTATACGACAGAATTACCTCCGGAACAGGGAGATGTTCGACATATAACTGTTCTGTCTGTTTGCTCATACTTACTCACGGTTGGGTACTTTTTCTATTGCCCTCCCCTTTTATTACTTTAATTTTTTTTTCTACTCTTATACTGCCCGAGGTTTGCCTTCAGGGCTGCGACTGATTAGCTTTTACGGGGAGGGGGCATGTGGGCGCTGCTTTCTCCCCTGTTCCTTTGACTTCTGGATCAACTTCTGCTCTCTCAAATACGGGAAACAGCTGTGTAACATTCTTGTTGTCATTTCGTGTCAGCTCACACTCTTTCTTTATGACCAAGCTGAAATAATTTTGATAAACATTATCATGGCTAAATTTTCTGAGCTTAATTTTATCAATCTAACATATCTCTTCAGACAAATAATGTATATACTGCAGCTAGCAAAAATAAATAAAGAATCATTCATAGATTCACGTCCTTTATCACGTAATACCTATCTTAGAACTCTCGGAAATCGAATAATAAGCTCATTGGCAGAGTAGGGGACGAAACAAAAATAAAACAAACTTGGCATCTCAACCATATCTGGGCAGGTGGAGAATCATTTTCTCAAAAATATCCCTCAATAGATATTGCAGCAGCGCATCACCTCCCATAAAAATACTCGGATATGGCATGCAGAAGGACCCATCGGAGCAGGGAAATTATCCTCATAGACTCTCCAATCATGCTTCCCAACGGTCTTTCCCGCAATTTCACCCCCTAGAGCAACCCCCCCCCATTATACCCCCAGTCAGGCATACTCATTCTCTCTCACATTCGCCACTTTCAAGACACTCATTCTCTTTCTCTCTGAAAAATTCCCTTCTAGTCATTTTTCTATTTACTGCACATGTGCTTCCCTTCCCCTATCACTCTGAAGGAGTGGGTGTGTGAAATCTCGGTTGGGCCGCGTGGTCACACGACTGCCTCACCAGTCCAAGGTCCCATTCTAACAAACAAACAAACAAACATTCTTCTCCTTTGAAGCTACGTTAGGGTGACACTGAAAAACCTCCCCTGTTCCAGCACAGCACAAATTCACTCGAATTTACTTTTACTCTTGCCTGCGTAGCGCGAAATTCAAAAACTCATCTCTAAATAATATCACCAAATTTCTTATTCTTCAAAAAGAAATGCCACACACTTATCACAATATCAATTCCCCATCATAACATTCAAAAAAACGATCTGTCATCTCTGTTAAATTCTTTCTCACCCAAAATATTACACGGCGAAATAATGATAATAAAAAAAACAACCTTGAAAACAGGTGCAAGGATCTTATCACTCGATTTCTTACGCTTTAAGAAATGAATATAAAAAATTATATTGCACGTACTTTATATATCAAAGATCAGTACAATTACTATATCTTTATAATAACGAGGTTGGGAGATCGATTGGTCATTTACGCATTCCTTTCTTGGAAATCACAAGTGGTTAAAAGAAAAACCTTAAAAGTGGTTTCAAGTATACTCCTCACTATAATTCTTACACTTAAGAAATTAATATAATAGTGTTTTCATGTACATAAAATTTTTCCAATTAAAATCAATACATTCGCGTTCTTAAAATTCAATTTAGGCTTTAATACAAATAAATGGAACATCCTTTAACCGCAATTACTCGTTATATTCTTCAAATTATGACAAAAATGGAGTTTATTACTGCTTATAGCTATTAGTACAAATTATCCATGTTAGTAATGCGTACAGAAATTCTACTTTTATTAACTTATTAGGAGCCACACCCCTCATAGGCGGGTTGGCTGAGTCAAAGCATAACTGCAAGATAAAATGGCGGCATCCACTTACCTCAATTTCTTTTAATAATTGTCCCATTACTCACTGGATACAGATCACAAGTACATAGCTATTTTAAGGAGGTGGTTCTCCATCTCTCGTGTAGAGTCGACGAATCACCATCTTCTTGGTTGGATCTGGCGACATGTACTTTTGGCGAGGGGCTTTTTCACTCAAAGCCCCGGTCACACTTCAACTCACTAAGAAATATCTTAGGAATAGTTCCTTAAAAGTTTCCCAATGTTTTATCTTTGACCACTCGTCTCTTCTCATCCGCAGACCCAAGTATTTCAGAAAGTCGGCCGCGGGAATTATGGACGGACGTTCGAGGTCTTTCACATTTGCGCCGTCGAAGTATAAAGATGAATCTTTGACTCGAGGCGCCTTTACAACCAGGGCACGGGGTGGAGACCTGGCCTGCTGCGTTCCCTGTGTCACCACGGGGCTCGGAGTGGCAGGCTGTTCGTTGTTTGAGGCGTCGGTTTCTCTGTCGGCGTTGACCAAGTTCCTTCTCGACAGAGCGGCTTCGGCAGGAGTTTGTAGGCGCCGCACGTGTTCCTCCAATTCGAGAATTCAACGGTGTTTGTCCTCGTCACTCATTTCTTGAATTGGGTGATATTGGATTTCTGCGTTTGCCATTCTTTTTTTACTTTGCATAGATTTTGACTGATATGAGAGTCTCATCGTATGTGTCCCGACGTGGGATCCATACCGCACTGCCACCAGATTGTCGTAGTGATTTCAATCACTTACATTACTATTTATACCAGACGGGTGCAAGGTAAGAATGGACAAGCGGTTGTTCCTTTATCATAATTTATTCTAGAGTACAACATATTCAACGCCTCAATGCCCCCCACCCTATGACTATCAAAATCTATAATCTATTCGTGCCCCTGGTAAGATTCTGACTACCTGTCGCTCTCTGACTGCGCTCTGTCTGCCTCGTGGATTCTTGAAATACCCCATGGGCAGGGCGTGTCACGGAATCCAGTTCAGCCAATAGGCTTCAGGTTCAAAGAGATGGCCCTCCTCTTGGGGGAGGGGCTATTTCAGCAGGCCTATAGAACAGAAGAGTTCTATTGTGTATCACTCCAGGGCATATACGGTCAAAATGCTAGTGTTTCATGTGGTTTTGGGCAGGGCCGACTTCTGGGCCTTTCCCACACTCTTGAGGCACTTGACGCCAGGTGCTATGGTCAGGTGCTAAGTCCCATGGATCCAGCCAGGTGCTAAGTCCCATGGATCCAGCCATATATCTCGTTGACCCTTTCTTAACAATTGACCATACCCAGACAAACAACTGGGAGAGTATTCAATTTCAAACTTGATCTCTAGCCTCTCATATTTCTCTTCACGACTTGTTACAGTTTCAGATCCTGGCTTCAGCAAGCTTTCATGTGACTTCAGTAAGACTTCAGTTATGCGACATATATATATATATATATATATATATATATATATATATATATATATATATATATATATATATATATATATATATATATATATATATATATATATATATATATATATATATATATATATATATATATATATATATATATATATATATATAACCAAATAAGCACAGTACATATGTGAAAACATGATCATTTTTTTACCCTGACCGGGACTTGAACCTAGAACTTATAATTACTATGTCAAGGTGCTACCAACTACACCAGAGAAGATTAAAAGAAATCCAACCCTATAGCTTATATCTGCTATACTTAGGAATTAACGCATTCTATCTGAATGCCACTATGTTCATATTCCAGATTCCACAACCTCACTCGTGATTTCATTTTCGCATTTAATTCAACTCCCAATCTCATTCGGGCCCAACAATAACCAAATAAGCACATTACATATGTGAAAACATATATCATTTTTTTACCCTCACCGGGACTTGAACCTAGGACTTATAATTACTAATTCAAGGCACTAGCAACTACACCAGAGAAGGTTAAAAGGAATCCAACCTTATAGCTTATATCTGCTATACTTAGGAATGAACGCATTCTATCTAAATGCCACTATATTCAAATTATAGATTCCCCAACCTCACTCGTGGCTTCATTTTCGCATTTAATTCAAATCCCATTCTCATTCGGGCCCAACAATAACCAAATAAGCACTTTACATATGTGAAAACATGAATAATTTTTTTACCCCAATTGGGAATTGAGCCTAGTACTTATAATTACTATATATACATATATATATAAATATATATATATATATATATATATATTATATATATATATATATATATATATATATATATATATATATATATATATATATATATATATGTATGAGTTTTATGCGTCACCATTAGTCGCTATTTTGTGATGGATGCAGACTGACTGAACAATAAGAATTAAGCCTAGATGCCTGGATTCCTCTTAACCT